GAACTGGCAAGTTCCCAGAGGGGTATTAATAAGAAAGCAGAAAATGAGGCTGGGTGATAGTAGGCACTTAGCAAGTGACAGATGCTGTTCCAGATGCCTTAGTGCACTGTTTAACTTTCATAACCGCTCAGTGAGGAAGATGCTGTTAGCCCATTTAACAGATGTAAACAGTCAGGCACCAAGAAGTCACTGGCTCAAGTTATACAGAGCAGGGATTTGAACCCAGATACCTAGACTTAAGGCTCACGCGTTACCACAGCTGCCTCTAGGTAACTAACAATATCAAACGTGTTTTGGGTTTCTTGACAAAGCTTAGGCAGTCAGGGGCGGCCTTCGAAATGCGCTAGTCCTCTGGTCTCCTCAGAATCTTAGCTGAATCCTCTGAAGCACTGGATTTGTTCAGCTCAATAGCAAGGTGGTTGGGGGGGTGGTGGCGAGCAGGGAGTGGGGAGCACACTCCCAGAGAAATGCACACAATTTGAATCTCAGGCATCCCTAGTGTCCAGGTGAGACTCTCCCAGGACTCACTTCCTCTCCTAAGCGCACTGCCTGCAGAAATAAACATGTAGTGACAGCGTTTGAGGTCTGCTGGGGGTGGGGCAGCCAGGGGCTCCTCTGGGTGCTGCGAGCTACTTGGGAACGGTGACACCCAAGCAGCTGTACGGGTGTTGGACTAAAACGCTGCTTAAAGAAGCAGAGTAAGTGTAGGGGCTCATCTTCTGGCGGTTTCCATCTTTCTGGCAGCAAAAACAAGCTCTCCAGACCAGAAGAGTTTTCTTGGCATATTAAAGTAATTCATATGCATCTGTAGTCAAGTGTACACCCACACCCTCTGATTCATATGGTGTCTCTTTTAATTGGCTTTCTCCATTGCTAATTACTTGTCAGGTAAAGGGTTACTCATTGCACAGAGGGCATCTGTCCATCAGGACATGGGCAAGGCCAGGGCCACAACTCTGCGGGGAAGCAATCATTCGAGGGCAGGCCGTAGGGCCAGGTGGGGTCTCCAGGAGGACTCCGGAAAGTGGTAACCTTGGAGTAGATCAGGAGATAATGGAGGGAGGGGGCCAAAAAGCCAAAGATACATGTTCATTTCCTCATCCTTCCACCAGCCAGCCTTTCTGAGTCTGTCACTTTGCCAGGAGCTGGATTCACCACCATTCAGGATGGCATCAGTGTGATGTGTCCCAAGATGGGACTTGTGGCATCTCTTCAAGGTCTCAAATACCCAGCTTCTGAGGCGAAGCTGGCCTTCTCGTCATCCCTGAATGCTCCTTGGCACTCCAAGCAGGGCACTGGAAATGAACTGCTCTGGTGGAGAATGAGGGTATAGATGTTTACAGCTCAGAGTTCCATCTCTTGATTTTGCAGAGAAGGGAAAAGAAGGCCAGAGAGGGCAACTAAACTACCTGATGCCACACAGCAAAGCCCGGCCCTGCACTCAGCTCTCTAGACCCTGAGTGCGTGGTTCTTTTCATACTGCTTTGCCAGTTATGGGGGCTGAGTGCACCCTTGATGACAGGCAGGAGACGGGTGTTCAGCAGCTGACCTAGGAAGGGGTGCATTTTCTTCGGAACGGTGCTCTCCCCAGCTCTCTTTTTTGCATTAAGAGAGAGAAAAACAATTATCGCACATTTTAATGCATATATATGGAATCTAGTAAAATGGTATAGATGAGCCTATTTTCAGGGCAGGAATAGAGACGCAGACATAGAAAATGGACTTGTGGACATAGTAGGGGAAGGAGAGTTCAGTTCAGTTGCTCAGTCGTGTCCGATTCTTTGCAACCCCACGGACTGCAGCATGCCAGGCCTCCCTCTCCATCACCAACTCCTGGAGTTTACTCAGACTCATATCCATTGAGTCAGTGATGCCATCCAACTATTTCATCCTCTGTTGTCCCCTTCTCCTCCCACCTTCAATCTTTCCCAGCATCAGCGTCTTTTCAAATGAGTCAGCTTTTTGCATCAGGTGGCCAAAGTATTAGAGTTTCAGCTTCAACATTAGTCCTTCCAATGAATATTCAGGACTGATCTCCTTTAGGATGGACTGGTTGGATCTCCTTGCAGTCTAAGGGACTCTCAAGAGCCTTCTCCAACACCACAGTTCAAAAGCATCAATTCTTCGGCGCTCAGCTTTCTTTTTGGTGAGAGAGGGTGGGACCAGTGGAGAGAGTAGCATTGAAACATCTACATGTGTAAAATAGATGGTGAATGGGAAGCCGCCGCATAACACAGGGGTCCAACCCAGTGCTCTGTGAGGACCTAGAGGGCTGGGCTGAAGGGGGAGTTGGGAGGGAGGTTCCAGGGTCAGGGCATGTATGTATACTGAGAGCTGATTCGTGGTGTTGTATGGCAGAAACCAACACCACATTGTAAAGCAATTATCCTGCAATTAAAAATAAATACATTTTTAAAAAAAGAAATGCTTTCTTTAGGGAGTGGGAATCTTGGGGCGAGGTAAGGTTGCTGTGGACTTCACTTTCTGTATGTGTCCGGCAGGGTCCATTGAGAGAGACAGGCCTCTCGGAGGTGAGTGGAGAGCGTTGCCCTGCTGTCAGTGAGGATGAGGGCTGAGCCGCTGATCGATGGCTTCCGCAGCGACATCCTGGTGAGGTGGCTAGCGGAGGCTGGGGCTTGAAGTCACGTGGAGTGGATGCTCTCTGTCTGGCCTGCACATGCGCACACGCATTAGAGGAAGGGACACAGCCCTAGGGACAGTGGCCACGATCTGCTGCTTCTCCGTGAGGAGTGATACTACATGTTTTGCTAAGGATTTCCCAGCTTCCTCAGGCATTTGGTACCAGCTCCCGTCCCAGAAGCTTTGTGCCCAGGCTGAATCCCCTCCATCTCCTGGAGTGAGTTAAGTAACAGACCTCAGAGGTGCTTTCAGCGGTGTATCTTGGGGTTTAGTGGAAAGTTTGTGAGTTAATTAAAATCCTAGGTTTGCCTTTTACTAGTCATAAGACCTTAATATCTCTGAGCCTCAGATTTCCCATCTGTATAATGGGACTGTTGTGGGTGATCCCATGACACAGACCATAACAAGGTATTAACTAAATGGTGGTCCCCCTATTCCTAAAATAGTTCCAGATTAGCCTGAAGCCCTCCCAACAAAGGTCCTTACGAGCATTTGCAAAGAAAAAAAGGCAATAGGCTGAAAAATATGTGTTAACTCTAAATCATCATTCACAAGTTTGTAGTATTTACTAGTGTGACAGAAAGGATGATTTCCATAGGCAATGGATCTTTGCTAAGGGCAAACTCTTATCTGTGTAACACAGCTTTTGTGTTAGATGCTGAGTAAGCAGCTATTTTCACTTTGGGATGAAGAATGGAAGCAGCCGGAATCCTGAATCCTTGACTTTGCCCCGTCCAGACAGGGCTTTTTGTTGTTGCTGTTTAGTCACTTCCGTCGTGTCCGACTCTTTGAGACCCCATGGACTGTAACCCTGTCAGGCCCCGCTGTCCATGGGGTTTCCCAGGCAAGAATACTGGAGTGGGTTACCATTTCCTTCCCCAGTAGATTTTCCCAACCCAGGGATCGAATTCAAGTCTCCTGCATTGGCAGGTGGATTCTTTATCACTGAGCCACCTGGGAAGCCCCTTTTGGGACATTAGAGATGCCCTTAACACAAATTTGACAGAAAGGATGCTGTGGTTTCACCAGTTGTGAAACCTTGTGAGAGTTACCTGAACTGTCTGTGCCTCAAGTTCTCTCATCTATAAAACGGGGAGCATACAATCCCTATAACCTGGACCAGAACTAACTGGGTTTGTACACGGGAGCCACTGGAACGCAGTGGGTGCTCACAAAATGTTAGCAGCTATTATTGTTCCTTGGCTTTGGTATCAGAACTGTCAAGTCCCAGCCTGCCACTAATTAGATGTGGTAAATTGGGTTTTTGTTCTGTCTCCCTAAGCCTCAGTTTCTCATCCGCTGAATGGTCATACTCATGAGACTGTCTCACGGGCTGGTAGGAGGATTAGATGGGATCTAATGGACCCGAAGTATGTGGAACAGTGTCTGGAACATCTCAGCAAAACTTCTACTTTGTGTAATATTATGCAGGGATCCCTGCACTGCCTGCTGGTATTCACTCCAGACACACTGGTACTTGCCTGGGAGACTGGCATCAGTGACGTCTTCAAAACCTGGAGGTCTCCCATTCTTTTTAAAAAATTTATCTTATTGAAGTATAGTTGGTTAACAATTTCTTCTGTGCATCGAAGTGATTCAGTTATACATGTATATACATACATATATGTATATAATTTTTTCCATATTCTTTCACGCTGTGGCTTATCACAGGATAGTGAATATAGATCTCTGTGCTATCCAGTAGGACTTTGTCTATCCTTTCTATATGTAATAGTTTGCATTTGCTAACCCCAAACTCCCGGCCCATCTCTCCCCCACCACCCCAGACCTCCTATTCTGATTTGCAAGCCTGCTTTAAGTAACACAACTGCCTTACAGGTATGGAGCATGTTCTATTGTTTCAAACATGTTTTTCAAATATAGAAATGAATCACATTCAAAAAATTCCCTGTCTTGAACCTTTGTTGGTCCTCACAAAAATTCTAAAAGATAGGGTGTATATATTAAACTTTTTTTTTTTTTATAGAGAAGGATCCCTGGAGAAGGAAATGGCAACCCACTCCAGTATTCTTGCCTGGGAAATCCCATGGACAGAGAAGCCTGGCAGACTACAGTCCGTGGAGTAGCAAAGAGCTGGACATGACTTAGAGACTAAACAACAACATAGATGAGGAAACAGAGGCTCGGAGAGGTTAAGTGGTTTATCTGAAACATTCAACAAGGTAACTACCTGTTCTGGCCCAAAATTCATGGTTCTGCAAGAATAATAAGGACTTATGGATTGTTTCACAGTTAAGAAAGACTTTCTCATGTGCTATCACATCTGATTGTCACAGTGATGCTGCCGGGGTAGGTCTTCTTAATATGCCCAACGCACAGACCCAGAAAGGTCTGCTCACCATCACCCAGCAAACAAACGATGAATGCGAGGTTTAAACTCATGTTTTCTGGTTTCTTTTGTGTGTTCTTTCTGCTTGCCATTTTCAGTTCAAAATCCACCTTAGCTAAAGGCAGAAAAGGGCAAAAAACGAAAACAAACCCCCAAACACCCAAACAAGACACCAGCTGAAGAGAGGCAGCCGCTCCCCCAACACAGGCAGGCCACCCAGGGATTTCCGACAACAGCATGGATCAAGGTATCTAACAGAAAGCATGGAACTCTCCCAGCCAGCCTTCCACCGAAAAGTGTAATTAGGGAGCTGACAGGCTGCACACTCAATGCTGCTAATGGGTCCACCTGTGAGAAGGACCTGGTGAGCACGGGTAATTTGGACAGAGTGGTTCACTCAAAGGAGACCCAGGCTTCAGGTGCCCTGCCTGACCCCTCCGCCCCCACCCGGGGCCAGAAGCATCCCCGGGACACAGGAGGAAGGGGCTCGGCCTAGACCCCATGGGCGACACAGAGATATTTGCCGTGGCGCTTGCTGCACATTATGCTAAAAGTCTGTCAGATTTCAGAGGCAGTCTGGGCGGGAACCATGGAAACAGGTTAGGGAAGAGGAGAAGCTGATTGCTGTTGTCGTGTTTGTGAGGGAAGGATGAACTGGAGGGAGCCGCCCTCCCTCCTCCACATCCTCGGCTGTGGCTCCCGGTCCTGACCCCACCACCCGCCGCCCACCCGCCCCCAGGGCCCTTGGTAAGGAGCCTCCCTCCCAAGCACACAGCCACATCAGGGAAAAGAGAGCCAAGGACAGACTGTGTGGATCTGTGAGCCTGCTCCCACGCAGGCTCTCTGACTCCCATGCAGAGCCCCCAGCCCCGTTGGAACAACGGGTTCCCGGGCACTGAATCCCCACCAGGTGCCACACACAACGAGGGATGCTTCCCCTGTGTTATCTGCAACCCTCCCAGCGACTCTGCAAGTTGGCATCCTTACCCTCATCCCGTGGCTTCCCAGGTGGCACTAGTGGTAAAGAACCCGCCTGCCAGCGCAGGAGACATGAGAGACACAGGTTCGATCCCTGAGTCAGGAAGATCCCCTGGAGGAGGGCATGGCAACCCACTCCAGTATTCTTTCCTGGAGAATCCCATGGACAGAGGAGCCTGGTGGGCTACAGTCCATGGGGTCACAAAGAGCTGGACATGAGTGAAGACACTTAGCACGCACGATGCTGTCTTCACAGCAGGATGCAGAAGGGATCCTTTCGCTTTCTGCCAGTGGGGCTTTTCTGTGGGCCCAGATGCAGGCGCCAACGCCCCATCCTGTAGGGCTATGTCTCTAGGAGGCCTCACCAGCTTCCCTCTTTTCCTGCGCCTTAGTGATGCCATCACCATGGTTCCCAGACTCTTGAGCAGAGAATCCATTTTCTCTTCTAGTCAAGAGCAGGGAGATGGCTCTGGATAAAAAAGCTCTTGACGAGCAGCCCAGGTCACATGGGGGTGTGGATACAGGGCAGAGGGGCCTGCACGGCAGAGCCGGAGAGGAGCGGGGGCATCCAGTGTGGTCCCGCTCCCAGGTCAGAGAGCTGTCTGTGAGACTGGAGGCGGAGGACCCAGAACCCGTCCTGGGAGGACAGCGCCCAGTTCTGAGACAGCCCGAAGGATTTTCAGCACCCCAAAGCTTCTGGCCTCTGAGAGCCTGGAGCCTTGCTTTCAACTGACTTGAGATCCGAGACTCACACCCAAGGGTGTTGGTTCCATGCAGAGTGGGGTGGGGCAGGTAGCGGACAGGGAGGGAGGGACCTTCAGACAGGGCTTTCTGATTGGCTGGGTAGGATGCGCCCTGCTCTCACTAGGCATTGGATGGAGGACCAGGGCTTTCCAGGGGAGGGACAATTTTTACTCTTCTCTGGGAGCAAGGTTGAAAACGTCCACAAATAACTTCTTTTGTTTTTTGTAAATTCAAGTAGAAAAAAGTACTTCAAGACAGGAAAGAGAAGATAACCAGTACAGGTGTTATGGATACCTAGATGTTGTGTGGAGTACTGTATCTGCTTCTTTCTGTTCTGGAAGAGACATTCCTGTTCTAAGCAAAGCCCTCATCTATGTGTGTGTGTTTTTTAAAATTGTATTGGTAACTATTATTAGTGAAAAAATAGAGAAATTCTCTAAAGACAAAAAAGTTAAACAATAAAATGAATAATTTTAAGGAACTGAGTGGGAAGAGAAAAATGAGAACCATGAATTAAATTCTATTCTCTCAAATATCATGTACCTTAAAAAGCAAAAGCCATGCAATAGCTTAGGATTAATAACAAATTCAGAAATGAAGATTTCTGGTTCTTGTTGACTTAGCAGTACAATCTTTGATAACTTTCAATCCTAAGAACTGAGAAGACAGCAAACATGGTTAATATCTTCCAACATAAGAATCTATAGAAATGACATGTTAATAACCTGTTGTTGTTGAGTAGCTAAACTGTATCTGACTCTTTTGCAACTCCATAGACGGTAGCCCTCCAGGTTCCTCTGTCCATGAGATTTCTCAGGCAAGAATACTGGAGCGGGTTGCTGCGCCCTTCTCCAGGGGAATCTTCCTGACCCAGGGATTGAACCTGCGTTTCCTACACTGGCAGGCAGATTCTTTACCACTGAGCACCTGGGAAGCCCAATAACTTTTACTGATTATTTAATGAATGGTTGACTTTCCTTCCCGGTGGCTTAGGGCCACATAAACTACCGGCCTAAACACTTCAGCTCTAATCCCCTCTCAGTCTTTAACCTGGTGACTTTGCTTTCATTTTCTTACTTTTTATTGAAGTATAGTTGACTTACAATATTATGTTAACTTCTGCTGTACAGCGAAGTGATTCAGTTATACATACATCTATAGGTATATATACAAACATTCTTTTAATATTCTTTTCCATTATGGTTTATCATAAGATATGGAATATAGTTATCTGTGTTATACATTAGGACCTCATTGTTTATCCATTCCATGAATGAAAACTTACATCTGCTGACCTCAACCTCCCCTTTTATCAGTGTTTATGATTTCTTTCCTCAGGAAACCAGGCCCAAGGTTATCACCCCACCTTGTACCACCTTGTAAATTCTGCTTCTGCCTGCCACTGCAGCTGTTTCTCAATCTTTAGAAAGTCTTTTCCTTCTAAGACTCTCCCTAAATCCTGCATTCCCTTTTCCTTCGGTACTATCTCTTGGCTTTCACCATATCGTTTCTTAGAAGAGAGATCAACATTTGTTACCCCCATTTTTATTCCATTTGCTCTCTGGTCCATGAAAGTGAATTTCTGCCCCCATTGTTCATGCCTGCTTCAGTTGGCTGACATTGACCGAGCATCTAATGTGTGCTCCCCAACCTCCACACCCAGGTGATGGGGACACAGCCAAGCAGTCCCTGCCTATAGGACCCTCCTCCCACTTAAGAGGGCAGACAGACATTAAGACAGATGACAGACAAATGGCAGATGACAACAGTGATAAGTATTAAGAAGGCATGGGATGTGGGACTGCAACAGCAAATAACAGGCAAATATGACCTACTAGGTGCTTCCTCGGAGAAGGCAATGGCACCCCACTCCAGTACTCTTGCCTGGAAAGTCCCATGGACGGAGGAGCCTGGTGGGCTGCAGTCCATGGGGTCGCTAAGAGTCGGACATGACTGAGCGACTTCACTTTCACTTTTCACTTTCATGCGCTGGAGAAGGAAATGGCAACCCACTCCAGTGTTCTTGCCTGGAGAATCCCAGGGACGGGGGAGCCTGGTGGGCTGCCTTCTATGGGGTCGCACAGAGTAGGACACGACTGAAGCGACTTAGCAGCAGCAGCAGGTGCTTCCAAGGTGGCTCAGTGGTAAAGAATCCACTTGCCAATGCTGGAGACGTGGGTTCAATCCCTTGGTAGGATAGATCCCCTGGAGTAGGAAATGGCAGCTCACTCCAGTACTCTTGCCTGTGGGAAATCCCATGGACAGAGGACCCTGGCGGGCTTCAGTCCATGGGGTTGCAAAAGAGTCAGACACGACTTGTTGTTTAGTGACTAAATAACAACAACAATGACACAACCTACTAGAGAGCCAGGGACAGTGTCCAGTGGCCAACTGATTACCAAATCCAACAGACGCGTTACAGGTGTGAGATGACCGTGAGCTTGCCCTTGAGAGAGACGGCAAGGTGTGCTCAGAGGGCAGGGAAAGAGCCGTGACAGAGTGGTTCACCTGAAGCTGAGGCGGGGAGAGGCATTCCTGGGTTCTTTCTGCCCAGATCACCTTCCTTCCCTCCTGGGATTGGCCAGCACCATCTATCCTTTTTTTTTTTTTTTGGTGGGTGAGGGTGGGTATAGTTGCTTTTCAACGTGTTAGTTTCTGCTGTACAATGAAGTGAATCAGCCACATGTTTACATCCATCCCCTCTCTCTGGGACCCCCATCCCACCACCCCCATCCCACCCCTCTGGGTCATCACAGAGCACCGAACTGAGCACTCTGTGCTCTGTAGCAGCTTCCCACTAGCTGTCTCTTTTACGCACAGGTCACTCTTAACCTCCCAGTTCATCCCACCTCTTCTTCCCCGACCCCGGCCCCTGCGTCCACAAGTCCGTTCTCTACATCTGTGTTTCTATTCCTGTCCTGCAAATAGGTTCATCTGTACCATTTTCCTAGATCCCACATATATGTGTTCACATACAATATTTGTTTTTCTCTTTCCGACTTACTTTGCTCTGTATGATCACCGCTATTCTTTATTTGAGAAAATAAAATTAGACCTTTTTTTTGGTGAAATCTTTCCCAATCCTTCCACCCTCATTCTACCTGACCTACTCCACACTCTGTGCTAAACAGCACTTGTACCTAAGCTACCTCTCATCATATCAGGCTGGTGTGTATTTTTCATGTCTATATGCCTTCTCCTCTCAGGAATGAGGGGTGCAGGGAACTGGGTGTGATGTGGTTTGAGTCATTTTCTTATGCTCTTGCACTACCCCAGGCATAACCCAGCTGTGACTTGTAGACGAGAGGGTAGAATGGGTAAGTGGAAGAATGGATGGATGGATGGGTGGATGAAGGAATGCCTCTGAAGTCCTGGGCAGATGCATGAAGAGGCAACCAGGTGTCATGGAAGGAGCAGTGGGATAAGGACTCAGAAGACTTGGGTTTGGGGTCTGTCTGAGTCACTGAGTTGTGTCATGGTTTGCAATTTTCTTTGTGCTCACTTTTCCAATGAGTGAAATGAGAAAATCTAATGATTTGATTTTGAAGGCTCCTTTGCACTCTAAATTTCTACTTGTTCTCTCTCTCATCAAGGGAGATAAAGACCATCCCTTGGGTGGACTTCCCTGGTGGCTCAGATGGTAAAGCATCTGCCTACAATGTGGGAGACCTGGGTTCGATCCCTGGGTTGGGAAGATCCTCTGGAGAAGGAGATGGCTACCCACTCAAGTACTCTTGCCTGGAAAATCCCATGGACAGAGGAGTGTGGTAGCTTACAGTCCATGGAGTCACAAAGAGTCGGACATGACTGAGCGAATTTACTTTCTTCTTTATGGGTGGAAACAGTGTTTTCTGTCAGATCAACAAGTCTTTACTGGTGGCCCAGTGTGAAGCCAGCAACTGTTTGATGGTGTACAGTTTTATAAAGATAAGAAAAGGATGTCCTTCTTGCCTTTGGTGAAATTACTGTTTAGTTGGAGAGATAAGTTTGGGCAACTGTCCAGGTCGGGAATGATGAAAAGGAACGACTGCTGACCCTGGTCTGTTTTGCTCTCAGAAGCCAAGAGAAATGCCATCCTGACCCTCTACCCAGAGTTACCCCATTTTCTCAGGAAAGGATTTAGCTTCTTCCATCTCAATGCTTTTGTATAGAAGACTCTGCTCTGTTTGGGAGATGTTTCTAACCTCCAAGGACCTGCCCTGGTTGCTTAGACTATAATCTAAACTGACAACAGATTTTCTGGTTTTTTTTTTTTTAAAGTCGTATCATTTTCATCCTCTCTATTCAGCTTCTTTGCTCATCACTTCCTCCCCCAGCTTCATCATCCCCCTTCCTAAGTTGATAGTGAGTCTTATTAAGTGGTGCTGTGTCATAAACCGTTGAGTTATGTCAGCTGGAAATGGAACATGATTAAGTATATAAAGGAGCCCCAGCCTTGCCTGCCACAACATTATACAACAGAAGCCTTGGCAATGTGTGAGCATCTTTTTTTCTCGCTTGCCTTCCTGGTGAGGGGGAGACCTGCCTGTCATGGTGTGGGTGCTGCTGGGTCCTTGGTTCAAGCTGGCTAAGTGTCGAGGAGGAGGAGGGTGTGGGGAGGGTCACGGAGAGTGTCAGCATGGGGATGATGCTTTGGGGACAAAATAAAATCAGAAATAGGCATATCAGGTTAGCTATGCTGGCATCTTAAAAGTTTTCTCACAGAGGCTGACTATAGTTCAGATGGACCCATGGCTGCAACACTTCTTTGTTTACCCTTTTTACCCCCAAAACATTTCATCAAGCCTGGAGAAGTAGAAGGAATTTGGAGAGTGTGCTCTTAAGAGAGCCCTGGGGTCAGACAGAGACGCCAAGGGTGAATGGATGCCCAGCATCCTAGGTCAGCACACTTTCCCCCTCTACCATGTGGATAACAGAGGAGCACATGCTGCTTTCTTCTCTGTCCCCTCTGAGAGTGCACCAATGCCTGCAAGACTTTCATGGCCGATCATACCATGCCTGCCTTATCTGCACCAGCTGTCTCTGTCAGTAGGAAAGTGCTAAAGAGTCAGAGGAGAGACGTGGCCAAAGCCTTTTCAGAGGTCCAGGCAGGATGTCTGTCACTGCAAAGTCTGAGCATCTCAAGTGTAAGGCAGGGTCCAGCTGCCCTTGAGCTGGTGGAATGTGGCAGAAATTGCTAAGGAGTCAGTGCATGGTCCTTGGAGACTTTCTGGATAAATCTATAGAGACACATAGGAGAGCCTAGGGTATCTCCCTAAGGCATGAAGCTGGATACCCTGTGACTCATTTTCCCACCTGTTTCTGTTAAGGGTCTTTTCTGTCTGATTGTCTCGAACTCACCTGGCAGAACAAGTGTCAATGCTGTGTCAGTGTTGTGGGGAATGTGGGAGCCTCTGACCACATCACCCCTGTTCTCGTGTTCCCCTTGGCCTCACATACTCCACTCTGCATCTGGACTTTTAAGGGGCCTTACTTTTGAGTTCAATATACTTCAGTATACCTCCTCTGTGGCTTATAGTTGCCTTCCTTTATAAGTGAAGCTGCAGGACTGATGCTGAAGCTGAAACTCTAGTGCTTTGGCCGCCTAATGCCAAGAGGAGACTCATTGGAAAAGACCCTGGTGCTGGGAAAGATTGAGAGCAGGAGGAGAAGTGGGTGACAGAGGATGAGATGGTTGGATGGCATCATTGAATTCAGTGGATATGAGTTTGAGCAAGCTCTGGGAGACGGTGAAGGACAGGGAAGCCTGACATGCTGCAGCCCACAGGGTCACAAAGAGTTGGACATGACTTGGTGACTGAACAATGCAACAGCAATAAATGAAACTGAGGCCCAGAGAAGGCAGTTGACACGAAGACCTTTGTGTTTCCCAACTTCTTTTTCATCTCACAGCAATCTCTGCTTTGATTTGGAGCTAGGGACTTTGGATCCACAGTACAGGGTGCCTGGGGGGCCGTTATTCTGGGAACTATGGCTGTCCTGCAGGACAGATGATGGTCCTGAGTCTCTGTGACCTTAAGCAGAGGTCATGGCACCTGTGAAGCCCCAAATTCCTCCTGAGCCCTAGACACTTATTTCCAAAATGCCTGCTGGATATCCCCGCTGCAGATTCGTTCTCCAAGTCTCCCTTTCCTTTACTGCTCACATTCAATCAACACCAAGTGCTATAGATTCTACTGTCTAAAATCCTCTTAAATCAATCACCATCTGATCATCTCTCCAGCCATAGCCTCTGCTCAGAGCCTTTGCTCGTGCTTTCTTTCCAGGGTGATCGCCTCTTCTCCTCCCACCTTGTCTCTCTGCCTTCATCCCGCCCCCTTCAATTTACTGCATCGCCTCCAGAGCTGTCTTTCTCAAACACACCTCATCCTGTCACTGCCCTGCTGGAAGACTCTGAGTGGCTCTCCATCATCCTTAGTGGGGTCGCTGTTGAGGGCCTTCACAATTGGGCTTCAGTCTGTCTTTCTTAACTCATCTTCTTCCCCTCTCCCTTTCCCATCCTGCACTCTAGCCACCCTGGACTCCTCACCATCCCCTGACATGCCATTCCTATTCACATCGAGGTGACTTTTGTATATCTCTGTCCTCCACCTCCTCCCCTGCCTCCCTCTGTCCATCTCGTCTACCTGCCTGACACTCTACCCTTGAGACTAGGTTGATTGCCCCCCTTCTCTCTGAACCCTCTGTGGACCAGCCTGGGAGTCCGGGCGCCTTTCTCTGGGCTCCGGTAGCATCTTGTTCACATTGATTTGTAATTATTTGTTCATGTATAGTTCTCTCTCACTAAATAAAGGACTTCTTGGTTACAGGAACTCAACTCCTAGCATGATACTTGGCAGAGGTTGTAGCTTAGCCAACAGTATTGAATAAACCCAGGAAGTTTGCAGGATTCAAGTGGAGGGTATGTGGGGGTGGGTCCATGGGGAGCTGAGAGGAGCCTGGAAGAGGCGGATTTGCCTTCTTGTAATGCTCCTGTTGGTCACCTGTCATTGATTTTCATACCTCTCTTAAGGAATTTACTCTGTTTCCTTTTTAAGTACGTACATGCACGAGTCAGATCAAGTCCTTTGGCTGTGTGTGCTTCTGTTTCTGCTTCAGATAACATCATCACTGTAAACAATAGGTGATTCAAGCCTTTGTAGAGCAGCCCAGTTCTTCCTCCCGGGTGCCTTCTTTCTCACAAACTTCTGACACTCCTAATCCCAGTTCCATTTCACAGAGGTCTGTACATTGTCCACTGTGTTGGGATTTGGGGTATGAGTGAATCTAGGCTTGAAAAAATGATCAGAGAGGGCAGAAGCTGTCAGTTTCCTCATTGGCCCATCAGCTGTGGGAGGCTGCTGTGTTCTAGTTGCTGCAACAGCCGAGAGAAAAATCCATGTGTGGTTCATGAAAGCAGGAGGTCGCCTCGGCTGCCCTTGGGAATATGGCATTTAGCTAGCTTTTATTTGGCTTGCAATGTTTTGTCCAATTCTAATACATGGCTTTATGTGTTTAGCTTGTGTACAAAGTTTACTCTCATAAATGGCTTATATTCTGTCTAGAGGGACTGCGAGGCCCAGGCTAGAGTCTGTGAGCAGCGTGTAATATCATTCTTGTGTTTTATTAACCATAATAACCAGAAGTCTCCAGCCACTAATATATCTGCATAGAGGGTTTTTTTTTTTTGAAATTTCCAATTATTTCAGCATTCAATATAAACTGGACAGAAAATTCATTTCAATGCAGTTGGGCTCCTGATTCTTTCCAAACTGAGAGTAAGTCATCTGCAATGTGACTATAAGTCCAAGGACAGCATGAGGCTGTCCTTGTGGACTATTCCCTGCCCCGAGACTGCTCTTGGGAGGAACAGATTTAGAAGAGTTACTTTCCCATTTACCTGCCACTTCTTTGTAAAATTAACACCCTAAGTATCCCACTCTGGCCCTATGAAAATGCCAGAAAATATCTGAGAGATTAACACTCCCTCCTGCCCCTCTTCCCCTGCCCCCCAAATTAGGTCAAGGGGTTGCTGGTTCTTTAAATTTTTTAAAAAAATTTTTTCTGTCTGTCCCTTTAATAGGTGATAAAATTGATTGAATCTCTGGCTGTAGATGACTTCAGAATATTAGTTGGGATGGTATTGATTTTTTCTCTCTTTATAAAGCTTTCTGTAAAGTAAGCACCTGACGACTTTAAGTTACAAACTTTGAGTTAAATTATGAACCTTTTAGCTTTGCATTAGAAGTGGTATCTGGAACCTGATTTGCTAGATCAAACCACATTAGTTGTGTTATGTTATTTTCTAAAAACACATTTCAGAGAAATAACTCCAATCTGTGTTGCATTTTATAGAGCAAAATAATTGAATGGCGGCTGTTTGTAATTTTAGCAATCTCTTAACCTTAATCATATTTAATGGCTTTTCTCTTCAGGCTAACAGGAGAGAGAGAAAAAGGTTCCAGCTCTGTTATATAGCGGCGTGACAGTAATGCAGGCCGGTCCTTGGCAGCACTGTGAATTCCTCCTCTCTGAATTGTTGGTTCGGGACAGTCATTCAGCAGGGAATTACTTTCTCATCTATGAAATAAATGAGATGTTAAACTAGTTTTCTGCTTCCTGTGGTACAAATGTATCAGCGTGCAACCTCGTGCAGTGAGAAAACAAATGCCCGGGGCCTCGGACGAGGGCGGCCAGAAGCTCGAGAGGGCTCGGGGCTCTGGGATCCGTGAGTGAGAGTGCAGCCTGGGGAAGGGAGATGGGATGAAATGAGATGTAAAGGAGAGAGGGGGCCAGTGCTCCGAAGGTTTTCGAGAGATGCCAAGCCTGGGATGCAGCCGAGCGAGGCAAGCATCTCAGCGATGTAGGCGGGGGTGGGGGGTGGGGGGGGTGGGGGCGCACCTCCATCCCAGGGGGGGTGTGGGGGGGTGGGGGCTCAGTGCTTCCAGCTGCTTCACCTGGAGAGAAAAGATTTATTGGTTGCAGGTGACACTCCTTAGGATTTCTTCTTTCGAGCATAAAACACATTTCTACTCAGGATCTCATTTTCTTTAACAATCTGCCTAGGATGTTGGGAAAATCGGGAAGGATCCTTTTTCACTTTAGAAATGGGGAAGCTGAGAACCTGGGAAGCTGGTTGGGGGAGTGATAAAGACCATTGAGTAAGGGGTAAAGTTGGGACTAAAACTCTTATCTCCCAAGGGAATGTAGCCTGAGGATCCAAGATCCCCCATTATAGATGTCAGTCAGCCCCTGCTCCTGTGAAGCCAGGGGCGTCTAGCCCTGCAGCTTGGGTGCAAAAATGCTGTCCTCTGTCCTGGCCCAGGTCTTCCTTCTCACAGTGCTCACCTCAGTTCCAGGCTTGGAAGGCTTGGTGGGATTTTATTCATCAACAAGGTGGGCTTCTTAATGACGTGCCCTCTCCTGCATCTATTTGCTCACCCTATCAGGTCGTGCAGTTTCACTTTAGAAACAAGGCTAGCTCTCTCGGCCAGGTCCCTGAAAACCTGCTCAGATAACTTGTCAGCCTCATTTCGGGAGGAGAGTATCGAAGACTGAGCTGTGTTTTCTGGGCATCCCATCAGCCACAGGTCGGGAGGCCTCCTGAAATGGTAACAAGAGGTATTTTTTATTGAGCATCTATTAAGTGCCTTAAATGATGCTAGGCACTCTAAGTACATTACCTTAGTAGATCCTTATAATAAATCTGTGAGTAGTTATTATGTAGTCATTTTATAGGTGAAGATACAGAGACCCAGAGAGTATGACCAGCTAATCACAATGTATTCTAAAATAAACCATATAGTTAGAATTCAAATCCACTTCGGTGTGCTTAAACATCATGTCCTTTGAGAAAATTTTCTCCACCTTGAGGATGAGCTGGGATACTGGTCAGAGTCCTTTTTGCTACTCCTTAGTTACTCAATTATTTGTGTAGTAATGTTTGAATTTTCCTGTACACCATAAGCTGCAGGAGTGCAAGAATGATGTCTTTCTGGTCCAAACCTTTTACAAGTCTTCATTAAATGCTGAGTGAACAAATACACCGCATTGCCTATTCTAAGCCCCTGTGGCTGCCAGCCCTGGCTGTAAGATAAAAGGTCTTGGTGGAGGGAAAGATCCAGTTCTTTGCCTGGTGGTGAGTGTGCCCCCCACCTCATTCCAAATCAAGGCCCAAGGGTTTTCAGAAGCCTGTCGTGGACCAGGGAGGCATCTGGTACCTCATTCTCAGGCTTAGATTAGCTCAAGACCGGCTCTGCTGAGAACTGCTTTCAGATTGCCAAGGCTTTGCGTGTCGTTACTAATTAGAAAATTGCCTTTGGAATTGAAATATGTTTCACAGATGAATTTACTGAACTCCTTGCCGAGGTGTGATTCTCTCATGCTTGTTGTGAGACAATCCCACTCTGAGGCGGCATATGGAGATATCAACATTTCTGCAAATTACAAGATCATCAACGTTCAAAAATACTCCCAACATCTTGGGGGCCTGCTGTAGTGGGGCTGACCACCGGGGTGGCCTGGGGTCTGGGTCTGTCCCTGGGGAGGGAGCCCATTGTTTGGTTTAGCGCCCTCTGCTGGGAGCTCTCTGCTTCTGGCCTAAGGCTCCAAGAGAGACCTTCTAGAAATAAATCTAGAAGCATGGTCTGTGGTGCACTCAGATGCCAAGCAAGAGCGGAGTTGAAAATGCACTGGTGTTTATTTTAAACTGCACCATTCTTTCCTTTCGATGGGATAATATTTCTGGCATATCAGAGAATAATCCGTTAATGTGCATCACATACTTGCTATTTTGGGGTACCTTTAAAAATTCCCAATAAATGGAAAATGTAAGTAGATAGGCCAAGAGGTCTCACTCACCTGTGATCAGAAAGATGGAGAACTGTGGCATGTAGCGCAGAGCTGGGGAAGGTATAAGTTCAACAGATCTTTGTGGACGATGAGTTCCCATCTGTGAGGAAAACACAGGTACAGCAGAGACCATACAGCATATCATCATTACTATTACAGTCGCTACATTTTATATATCATCTTAGTTCATCTTCCCAACAGCTGCCTATCTAGAGGCAAGAAAACAACCTCTGACAGGCCAAGTAATTACCCCAGATTTCATAGCTCGTATGGGCTTCCCTGATGGCTCACTGATAAAGAATCCACCTGCAATGTAGGAGACAGGGAAGACATGAGTTCAGATCCTGGGTTGGGAAGATCCTCTGGAAGAGGAAAGGGCAACACACTCCGGGATTCTTGCTTGGAGAATCCCATGGACAGAGGAGACTGGCACGCTATAGTCCAAAGGGTTGCAAAGAGTCAGACACAACTGGGCCACTGACCACAGCACACAGCTTGTATGTGGTTGAACTGGGGTCTTTCCATGGGGTGGACCTCAGGGAACAGCCTGCAGTGACAGAGCATGATCAGGAGGCCAGGGGGAGTGTGGTGCATTGAAGCAGAGGCGTTTCACAGCTTCCGGGTCTGTTGACCACACTCAGTTCTTTCTGGGTCTTTCCAGCCACTCCTAGCACACTTGCTGGCATGCTGCTGCCCTCAGCAAATGCTTGAGTGAATGCATATACATGGGAACAAAGTGGGTTAGCATGAGGCCTCCCCATGGGCAAGTAAAAGTCAGCCTAGGTGCGTGCAAGGTAGACAAAGCTCACTGCCCCCTGGAAGTTTGGGGGGTGAGGGGAGAAATTTAATCAGGATTCAGAGGTTTGTGATGAAGACTCTTGGAGTAACAGAGGAGCTCCATACTGAGACTGGCAAGAGATCCCTCACTTTCCTTCCTTCCGCCGCCACATCTCAGAACACCCAGGGGGATGGGGTCACACATGGCATTAACTGAGCTTCCCAGGTGGCACAGTGGTAAATAATATGCCTGCCAACGCAGGATACACAAGAGATGTGGGTTCAATCCCTGGGTCAGGAAGATCCCCTGGAGAAGGAAATGGCAACCCACTCCAGTATTCTTGCCTGGAGAATTCCACGGAAAGAGGAGACTTGTGGGCTACAGTTCATGTGGTCGCAAAGAGTCAGACACGACTGAGCCCCTGAGCACAGCAGGACAGCATGGCCTTAACCAAGGACACAGGTGAGGCGGGGCTGGTGTCACCTGGCTCCTTTAAAGACGACCCCCAGCAAGGCACGCTCCTGGCTTCAGGAGCCAAGTCAGAAGGCAGGTGCCATTCACTTCCTTGTGGTCCCTGCACAGGGAGGGTGTTCTCAGCACCATAGGCTCATCCATACCCCAAACCCAGCTCTTCTTGGGCCTGGCCCTCCCTCTTGGCGCCCACTCGGCCTGCTGGGCATGGCAGGATGTCAGAGGGTTTGCCAAAGAGACATCAGCTGTTTCTCTAGCTCTCTTCACTAGCAGTGCATTCAGATTACATTTGTCTTGTCATCTGGGAATGCTGCTTGTGTGTGTGTGTGTGTGTTTTCCTGTGCCCACGTGTGTCCAGAGCTCCCATCTGACATCAAAAGGGAAATGATAAAGAAACCAATCATCTCCTTCCTCCCCATCAAAAGTACAAATAACTTCGTTATCTGGTGAGCATACTGGCTTCCCTTCCCCGTTCCCCTACCTAACTAATGAGCTCTTTGGAGCCGCCTCACCACGATCCTAATTGTTTTTAAATGTCTGCTCCCCACTCCATACCGAGAGTATCAGTCTGCATGCGGGTAACTGAGAACCACACTGCCGTTTCAGAGGACACAATTTTGCAGTAATTAAAAACATGCTTAAGGGAGACACGAGCCCTCTGCTTCTAAGACGTGGCCGGCAAGAGTGAGGGCCAGCTTCTGCTCCCTGTTTTGGCCGCCGAGCCCAGGCCCTTACTTGGAGGCGGGAGGAATCTGCCTGCCTTTTGCTTAGGGTCACACTGCACAGGGCCATGCTGTAAGCCCCTCCAGGGCAGGAAGAATCTTCTGTCCAGTTCTTGATGACCTAGTGTGAGAGCTTTGGGGTCAGCACTCAATGCTCAAGTCCCGGGTCAAGCAGTTTATTTGTACATAAAGTAGGGAGGGCCTGTGCATGTGAAACTGGGCAGGAAGCAGATGGAAGCGTTGGGATGAATGACTAATTTTAGTGTCTCCTTTTGATTCTCTAAGTTCCTGGAATCTTGGGCAGGGGAAGAAGTGGTTCTCAGTGTGTTTTCTGTAAGCAGATGCTTATTTGTTTGTTTTTTAATAGAACAAGTTTAAAAAGTTTAAAAAAACTTTTTATTTTATATTGGACTAGAAATCCCATGGACAGAGGAGCCTGGAGGGCTATAGCCCATGAGGTCACAAAGAGTGGGACATGATTGAGCAACTGAACAACAATAGCCGATTAATAAAGTGATAGTTTCAGGTGTACAACAGAGCAACTCAGCCATACATATACATGTATCCATTCTCCCCACACTCCCCTCCCAGCCAACCTGCCACACCACACTGAACAGAGTTTCCTGTTGTAAGCAGATGTTTTACGTTGCTCTTATCATCAGGGAGCTGGCATCCGTAGGATGGAAGAACAGGGAAAGTGTGGAGTTGGGTGGGGACGGATTGGAAATCACAATTGGGCTCATACTTATGGTCCAGCTTGAAAGCACTTTTTCGTCTGTGTGAGTTTTAATAACTGTTTGCCAGGATGGCTGGGGGAGAAATAAAGGCTCTTCCGGGAGAAACAGGAGTGGGAGGACAGAAGCATTATAAAGTTCTTGAAGGCTTATTAGGTAGATGATGCTATAACAAGATTAGAACCGGCAGAGATAGGCTGGGGATTTTTCAGGAGTGAGATTTAGGATGGTGGGCGTGATTGTAAATTCTTGAACCAACAAACATCTTCATTCGTGCACATTCTGTTAATAATCTCAGGGGACTGGGCTGAGGCTGGGACTGGCTGAGGGCTGAATATGAAAAACTCCAGTCAGAGGGTCTCATGCTTCTGGCTAGAAAGAGCTAGAACAGCCTCTGGGGTGACAGAGTCTGCTGGAGGAGCAGACAGTGCCTGGCATATCCTTTCGCTCACACCAAGAGCGAGGCCTCTGACATGCTGTGGGGCCTGCACGCTGACCCCAACATCAGCTGCAGCATCTGCTGAGGCCAGGCGAACAGAAAGGACGATCTGCTTGGGGGAGTTCTCTCCTCACTGGATTCTAGGCTCAGAAAATTCCTTTCAGCTACACTGTACACCCTCCCAGCCTGGCTGTCTGTGTGTGTGTATTATTTGCACAAGAGTTCAGAAAAACATAGATAAGTTCTTACAAATACATTTAACCCACCATACCCTAACTTCTCGGACTTCCCAGGTGATGCTGGTGGTAAAGAACCCACTTGCCAATGTAGGCAGCATAATGAGACGTGGGTTCAGTCCCTGGGTCAGAAAGATTCCCTGGAGGATGGCTTGGCAACCCACTCCAGTCATCTTGCCTGGAGAATTCCATGGACAGAGAAACCTGGCGGGCTATAGTCCATGGGGTCGCAAAGAGTCAAACACGCATGCACCCTAACATCCCACGGAATTCAGTCACATGCCAGCTTCCAACCAAACTTGAAATTTAGTACTTGTTTAAACTTAAGCTGCAAGAAAACAGTGCATCATTCCCAGGTCTCAGTCAAAAACC